GTACCTCGGTTTAAGAACTTAATTCGTTCTGGAGGTCCGTTCTTAACCTGAAACTGTTCTTAACCTGAAGCACCACTTTAGCTAATGGGGCCTCCCACTGCCGCCGTACCACCGGAGCACAATTTCTGTTCACATCCTGAAGCAAAGTTCTTAACCCCGAGGTACTATTTCTGGGTTAGCAGAGTCTGTAACCTGAAGCGTCTGTAACCTGAAGTGTATGTAACCCAAGATACCACTGTATAGAATCGCCAAAGGAGGGTGGGGAAATTTAAAAAGACATTTAAACGTGTGGGGTGAGGTCCAGTGCAATGGAAGCAACATGCGCACAGTGTTGCCCTCTCCTTTGGAATGAATGGGGAAACTCAGGTGTGATGTGATGGACAGCTTCATGTGGACACTGGAGCATCTTTGAGATACTTTTAGAATGGGTTTTCTTTAGTGTATCTTGGAATAGTAAATAAAAGACCCCCAAGACACAGAGTCAAGACCCTGTAACAAACCCAGATGCCAGTCCTAACACAAAAGTATCAATGAACACAAATTTGACACCAGAAATGGCAATATTTAGAAACAAGTAAAAGAACATTTCAGCTCAGGAGGACTCTCTGTACTTGACCTTAAAGTGGTCATCCTTAAACAGAAGAATTTCAGTGGGAGGACAGAGAACCATAATGAATCAGAATTTGTTAGGGAAATTAAGTTTTAATACTTGTGGGCATGAATCGAGGTTATAGATTTATCACACTCCTATGTGTTAATTAGTTACCATTTCCATGATGTTTCATGGTATGAAACCTCGTGCCATAATGCCGCAAGACTCGTTCTTGTTCTAGATTGGGATGAATGAGTTTGGGAAAGGAATGTGAGTCTTAGATGGCAGAAGATGCAGTTTACAAAAACATTGGATGAACAACAGAGATGGAAATCATTTCAACCTGAGATGTTATAGTTTATATACACCACTCTTCCCTTTTTGCTTTTTCTGCTCTATAAAATTATAGGGAGCTATATTTTGTAAATATTTGTATAATAGTAAACTGCTGTGAGTCGCCCAGAATGTTAAAGAGTGTCCATAGTCCTGGGATGAACCTGGCATGTCTTAGTTCTAATAGTGGCCCACTTCACCAAAATGGCTCGGGATGTTAATATCTGCCTTATGTTTTAGAAGAAAAATAATATATAAATATATTAAATAACCACACCCATTTTTCAGCAATATTATGAGCATCAATGAGTTTTTAAATAGCTATGAGGATGGAGGAAGAAAGCTAAATGTTGCTGTTGCAAATAAGGAATCTTAGAATCGCATAGGTCAGGCATAGGCAAACTCGGCCCTCCAGATGTTTTGGGACTACAACTCCCATCATCCCAAGCCAACAGGACCAGTGGCCAGTGATGATGGGAGTTGTAGTCCCAAAACATCTGGAGGGCCGAGTTTGCCCATGCCTGACATAGGCAGTCCCCACTGCTTCAGTCGTTTTCTGCGCTGAACATTACAGGCAGAAAATTCCTGGGTTTTAATTTTAATTTAAAGTGGAGAAGATTCTACTTTCGCTCTCATAGGCATAAAATATAGAAAGAAATTCAGACAGCATATATAACCCTTTCCTATTCCTCTGCCTAATAAAACATATTTTAGAAATGCTAAAGCATTTTGCTAGGGATATGATTTAGAGAATGGAATGACCTTATTAAGTGTTATTCACACAGGTCTCTTAATCTGTGAACCATATGAATGCCTATACCAGAACAAAGAGGTTCTGTTAACATTCAGGCCTTTGATCTCTTATGTACACTAATTATCAGTTATGACTTACATTGTGCTGTTCCTTTTGTTCTCTTGTTGGATGCAATTCAGTTTCTCTCCCACACTTAAATTCTTTTGTCCTGCTATCTCATATTATGTTTGGGAAACTTTTTTTTTTTTTAATGTGGCTAGTTCAAGTATTGCATCATTGTCATGCTAACAACCTTAAGCTTTTGTTTATGTCTCAATAAGTATTATAAAATTCATACAGTGACTGCTAAATTACATTATCTTTATCATGGTAGATAGGTATATACAATTCCCTGAAGCTGGGGTAGGGAGGCAAGGAGAAGGAACAGATCATTTCCAGTGAATCAGGCACAGTAATTGAATGAACTTTATGTTGGGAATCTATCCATGTATATTTTCTCTTTATTTCATTTAACAATTATAAACAAACATTGTCACTCTTTTCTGCCAATCTTATGTCCACAGTTATTTAACTGCTGCTGTTTTGTTTTCTGTTATATAGGGCCGTATACTGTAAATTACTGTGTCCTCCCCCCCCAAAAAAAAACTTCCAGGGACAAGGATGTGCAGAATTTATATGTTCTCATTAGCTTTCCCAAAATCTATGATAAAATTGGTAGTTGTCTAAAAATAAACTAGTAAAAAAGGTAAAGGTACCCCTGCCCATTCGGGCCAGTCTTGCCAGACTCTAGGGTTGTGCGCTCATCTCACTCTATAGGCCGGGAGCCAGCGCTGTCCGCAGACACTTCCGGGTCACGTGGCCAGCGTGACAAGCTGCATCTGGCGAGCCAGCGCAGCACACGGAACGCCGTTTACCTTCCCGCTGGTAAGCGGTCCCTATTTATCTACTTGCACTTTGACGTGCTTTTGAACTGCTAGGTTGGCAGGCGCTGGGACCGAACGACGGGAGCGCACCCCGCCACGGGGATTCGAACCGCCGACCATGCGATCGGCAAGTCCTAGGCGCTGAGGCTTTTACCCACAGCGCCACCCACGTCCCCTAAAAATAAACTACAGTTGCCCAAACACTGATCTCAAGTTAGGTCCATTTATTTCAGGCGGTCTATGCTGAGTAAAACTTAGTTGGTACCTAAATAAAAAAAATCCTTCCAGTAGCACCTTAGAGACCAACTACGTTTGTTATTGGTATGAGCTTTTGTGTGCATGCACACTTCTTCAGATACAGTTCTTCAGATACAGTTGATACCTGTGAGACTGCTCTCCAATATTTACAGTGCCTGATCAATGGACCACCGGTGGGAAATCATAAGGTATCAAATAGTGGTCCCTTTTCACTTATTAAGAGGATGGTTTGGCCTGGTTTGAATAACATTCTAAGCTGAACCTTGACCGCATGAACATGCTGGGTCTGGAGAGGAACCAGTAGCTGCCGATCCTTTTCCAGCTGTGCAGTGCTGAGTTAAACCAAGGTTAGCTTTCCCTTCACATGCTTGTGTGGTCTTGCTAAGCCAAGGTTTTGCTAATTATGTCATGAAAGCTGGGCCATTGTGGAAAAGGCACCAACATCCTAGAAATGGAATGGGTTCTTCTGAATTGAGTAATTTCATGATTTTTGCTTTCCTTCATGAGTGAAATCTGAGAATCTTTACTCCCAGGTTGGCTTACACACCAGTCTTTTTAGGGCCTATAAGCCAATAGAAACTGAAAAACAACATTAATATGTATTCTTACTTTCAAAATACCTGATTTTAATGTTGCAAGGCAAGTCCAGGAAATCCAGCTTCAAAATCCATCTCTACCAACCTTTCAATAGTTTTCAAGGTAGATTTTGAGGACATATATATTCAGCATAGGTAAATTAAACAATCTATTCCTAAATACACCTATTCGCTTCCTTCTACATTTAAATTTAATATTGCTATTAATAGCTCCATCCTCTTTGAGGATAACCTATTTTGATATTCATAAAGGAGCAAGTAACTTGTTCAAATATTCTGCAGTCAAGGCAAGTAACAAGCTGTTGCACATTTATTCCAAGTCCAATCTGATGTGCCTAGTTTCTAAACCCCATGGGTGTGTTCAATGGTTAGATCTAGTTTTTCAGTAGTTTAAATATGTAATAATACCTTCCATGTACTCTAATGCATTTTCACATAAAAGTTGACTTCCAGATGGAGCAGGAGTGGAACAGCTTTTCAGCTGATTCACAATATAATTTAAATTAGCTCACTGATAGCCATAACATTTCCATATGTAGAATTACATGAATTGTTATTTCATCTGTCTGTTATATATCTTTACAAAAATGCAAAACACCCCGAAAAGTGATATATCAGTAGGTCGATGTCAGTGCAAAAATGTGTGCAGTGTAGATAAACGTGAAACCGTAATTTCATGACAACGTACAAAGTAAGACCAGTCAGTACGTTTAACTCATATATGTATGATTTGAAAACCGGGGATAAGGCAGCTCATGAACACCAAAAAGGAAGTACAACACTAGAAAGCATGCTTTCTGTGAAGTATTTTATTCTCTGAAGTTCCTGAAAGTGTTGCATAGAATGAGCCATGCTCATGACTGTTTATAAGAATAACCGTGCACCCATCAGAGGTGGGCGCCATTTGCGGCCCTGCATATGCTACCTTCGATCTTCTGGGTGACATGGTGGGTTGCCAGCTGGCCCACCTTCCCGGCACCGCAGAGTGCTGGGGGTTCCCGCCAAACCCCTATTCAAATAAGCCAGTCTGCGGTGCTGCTGGGGGTGTGGCCACAGGAGTGGACCGAGAGTGAGAAGGCTTCACTCAGGTCCGCTCACTCGGTTTAAATAGAGGGCGGAGATTCATTGCTCTTGGTCTGTTGCCTGGAGGGCAACAGGAGGGTTTCCACATAGGCATGCAAGGAGTGCACCACCTCTTATTCTCCATGGTGTGTGTTGTTGGTGGTGGTGTTTTGCGCTGGCTGCTGCTATTTGTGCTTAGAAATAGATAAATGTCTAGTATGCAGTTATTATGGCGCTGCATTTCATAATATTCCTTTCCTTCAAAGGGCTTTGGATACCGTGCTGCAAATGTGGAGATCCTGTTTGAGCAACTGTTTCACTGTTCATTCTCCAGATGAGCTGCCGGCTAATAAATCCACATAATATCAGAATGCATAAAGGAATGTGTGAAACTGCTATCTTCACAGTTTCAGATTTTTGTCTGTGCAACTGCAAATCTCTATGTAATTGCAAATGTACGAGTGTGTTTTGTTGTATTTCAGGAGAAGCAGAGGTTCCTGACAGATGTTTTACATGAAGTAATGCTGCTTGATGGCCTGGCTAGTTCACATCCGGTGTCACAGGAAGTGCAGCAAGCCACAGACATTGACAGAGTGTTTGACTGGATTGCTTATAAAAAGGTGGGAGCAGAACAAAAGTCACGTTTGTTGGATTTTTTTGGGGGGGGGTATTTATCATCTCACATACTATTATTTCCATAGCTTGGAGTTACTACGCTTTAATTGCATGGTGATGTGGGCTTTTGATTCTTCCACAGCAAGGAAAAGGCTATATTTGGCAAAGTCTGTTCATTATTCTCCCTTATAACCAGCTCCAAAAGTGGAGGCAATCGGTCCACTGTCCATTTTAAAAACCTGATTTTGTGTCAGGCTGGCCATGTGTCCTGAATCAACTACAGATATACAATTCTTCACATGGCAGTTTGCAGAAGTTGATTTATAAATTGCATTTATAAATGCATTTTTAAAATGTAATCCGTTTATTAGTTTAATATTCTGCCTTCCTCCCAGTGCAATACCCAAGGCAGTTCACAGCATAAATTACAACAGATACAACTAAAAGCTCAAATAAATGCAATTTTTTTTAAAAAAGAAATAATATTTAAAACAGCACTGAAAACACTTTAAACCATTTTAAAAGTGTGCACGCACATAGTTAGTGGCCAAAGGCTTCAAAGGAATATTTGAAACCAGACTGCAAAAGATTAAATGCCTTTTCACTTTAACAATAGTATATTTTTACTTACTGTATTTTTTGCTCTATAAGACTCACTTTTTCCCTCCTAAAAAGTAAGGGGAAATGTGTGTGCGTCTTATGGAGCAAATGCAGGCTGCGCAGCTATCCCAGAAGCCAGAACAGCAAGAGGCATTGCTGTTTTCGCTGCGCAGCGATCCCTCTTGCTGTTCTGGCTTCTGAGATTCACAATATTTTTTTTCTTGTTTTCCTCTTCCAAAAAACTAGGTGCGTCTTGTGGTCTGGTGCGTCTTATAGAGCGAAAAATATGGTAAATAATGGGTAACATCCAGTGATAGCAGCCTAAAAATATCTAATTTTCAACGTGAAATAGAAATGCATTTATTAATGCTATTTTAAAAACAAAACAAAACACAAGGATCACACTCCCGGAACACGGAGTTATGTGCAGTTATGAAGGATAGATTGTGGTTATTATTCTTATTCCACAGTTCTGGCCCATCAGGTTCATATATTTTTACCCATCTGTGACGTTTGCAGAACACCCTCTCTTTTTCTCTGGGAACTCAAACTCAATCAGAACCAGGACAGAATATTATTATGGATATGTGCCCAAGCAAAGTTTCCTTTTGGCATTTTTCCATACCCAAATTCTCTCTTGCTGTCATATCGGGAAATTCTGTCTGATTCATATCTGAGATCAGGGAGCATTCCATCTGTGTGGTGTTGATTACTTCTTTGAGTCATCTGGTGTGACTTGCTCTGCATTTCTCCAAAGCTGTTTGTGAAATTTCCCCCTAACCACTTTTACTCCTTTCACAGAAGCTGCACTGTCGGGCAGTATTTCTTGGGCTGATTCATCCTCCTAGCCTCTAGAGTATCATAAATTCTCTTGATATCCTAGCAGGTCAGCCAATGAGTAGGTTGAACTCCCACACAGATAATAGGAATATTTTGGTTTATAACAGTTAAATTAGTTTGTCTTTAAATAATAAAAAGTCCTACATTTTTGTTTCTGTCTTTAATTTTCTTCTATCCACATTCATTTCTCAACCAAACACTAAGATAGAGTTTGCCTATGTTTTCTTAAGTGTAGTGCCTATCAGGAATGTTACTGTTAATAGATTCATTCAACATTCTGAATAAAACAATGCTTTAGGGGTATTACCTTGATTCTCCTTATTTTAATGCACTCTGGAAAGAAACCTGACACTCTCTGGGATGCAAGTCTGGGCAGTGTGTATGGAAGTCCTGGGCTGCCCAGCCAACAAGAGCCAACTCTTGCCCTTGCTGATGTGGTCCAAAGGAAAACAGAGCAATACATTTGGCACCAGCTTGGCTGCAGGAGTTGCCAGAAGGAAGCTTATAAGGCACCATCCAACCACCTTAGGGACTCCACTCCAGATTTGTGTAGGTTATCCCTCAGCCTTTTCTTCTCTCAAAGATGTCCCACAAGGCAGTGGGTATGGATTGTTCTTCAGTGTATATTTCTGAAGCCTTTCTCATGAATGAGTATAGCTGCAAGACAGTGGATCAGAGTTTTCCTTCTCCTAGATGGGCTAGATATGGCAGGTTGATGAAACCCATCTGCCCCTCATTTCCCTCTACAGCAAATGCAGAAATCACCTTCTTGACCATTGCACCCACGATTGGTTTGTCTTCTCAATCTGCCAGATGCTGGTTTTGCATGTAGGGGATAAGACAAGTCTTTAATTTACTGAGGGTTTGAGACCCATTGGCTACCCTCACCTGGTTTAGGTGGCGCTGTAGTCTAAACCACTGAGCCTCTTGGGCTTACCAATCAGAAGGTCGGCGGTTTAAATCCCTGTGATGGTGTGAGCTCCTGTTGCTCTGTCCCTGCTCCTGCCAACCTAGCAGTTCGAAAGCACACCAGTACGAGTAGATAAATAGATACTGCTGCAGTGGGAAGGTACACAGTGTTTTTGTGTGCTCTGGCTTCCGTCACGGTGTTCTGTTGCTCCAGAAGTGGTTTAGTCATGCTGGCCACATGACCCGGAAAGCTGTCTGTGGACATACGCCAGCTCACTCAGCCTGAAATGAGATGAGCGCTGCACCCCCATAGTCTCCTTTAACTGGACTTAACTTTTACCTTACCTTTACCTTAGTTGACCAGTTGAAGCTTCTTCCTAGGGTGTGGCCACTGACACATGCTAACAGCTTCCAGGAGCCACAGATGAATGCTGAGTGCTGGGTGGGGACCAATGATGGATGAACTACCCCAGAAGATGCACAACGTGTTCCCCACCAGAGATACTGCTCATCCCTTGACATCCCATACAATGCATGCTGCTTAAATATCTATCAAGCTAAATGTACTTGTCATTTCCACTTTCTGCCCTCCATGGCTACAATGTATAGAAGCTCTCTGGGAGGATATTTACTTAGGTTCAGAAGCAGATTGAAACAGATAACCTGGAACTAGGAAACAGTTTTTCCATCTGGATGATTTTTAATTCTTTTGTTGAATCCATTAAAAAGAGCATCATGTACTAGCACATAAATTGGCAACTGCAGTTTTCCCTTCTCAAATCAAACTTGTGCTTAAAGAAAGCTATAAAGGACCCCTGACCATTAGGTCCAGTCGTGGCCGACTCTGGGGTTGCGATGTTCATCTCGCTTTATTGACCGAGGGAGCCGGCGTACAGCTTCCAGGTCATGTGGCCAGCATGACTAAGCTGCTTCTGGCGAATCAGCGGTACCTATTTATCTACTTGCACTTTGACATGCTTTCGAACTGCTAGGTTGTCAGGAGCAAGGACTGAGCAACGGGAACTCACCCCGTTGCGGGGATTCGAACCGCCGACCTTCTGATCGGCAAGTCCTAGGCTCTGTGGTTTAACCCACAGTGCCACCCGCGTCCAAAGAATAGATGTCAAATAATAAGTTATGATAATAAATAAATCTCTTTTTTCTTCAATTTTATTTTCATTTTTTCATTTTCATTTCTCGGGGCTGGCTTCAAGCTTTCCTGTACTTCATTGTTGTCTTTTTTTCCAGCTTCTTATTTGACTCTCTCTGGAAGAGCTATGCCTAACCCTCAAAACTTTCCAGCCAGACCTCCCCCCAAACTAATCACACTTAACTTTGCCAGCTTGTATTTGCCTATAACGATGAGCCAATAAACAAACATAGAATGTTTCTATCACATCCCAACTTTGCCCTCCCACCCCGACAAATGTAAAAAGATTGACTCCTAATGTACTGACAACTGTAAACTTCCTTGGGGATGGATATGTTTCTATGGTGATAGACTATGATTCTTGGTAGGGAGCCAACTATAGGTAGGCAACAGGTAAACATTGTACCCCTAGATCTCAGAGGTAACTGCCAATTGTTTGACCTCCTACAATTAACCATAAAAACATTGTGTCCCTGGATCGCAAAGGTAACTGCTGGCCTTTTGACCTCCTGCAGGTAACTGTATAAACATCATATCCCTGGACCTCAGAGGTAGCTGCCAACCTATTGACCTCCTGTAGTTAATCATATAAACCTAGGTGACCTTTTCAAACATTCCCATTTATAATTCTGTGTGCATTCTGACCAACCTTTCTTTCAAGATTTCCCTGATTCTCCACACATTGATTTTAGCTGTACAAGCTAATCTTCAGAAAGGGACATTCAATGGAGTTAACATCATCACAACTGTGCTGCAACTTTGGGGCACTGCTTCAGTCCACAACTATCCATGTAGCATGCAACTTGCATAGGGGAAAGCCAGAAGCCTGCAACTATTGACCTTAGACCTAGTGGACAACTATTTCTGCTCATACTACTGCTTTATAAAGACAGAATGTTAACGCCACATTTTGTCCCCTCTTGGCAATTCATAAGGATGTTCCCCAATCTTCTTTTAACAACATCAGATTTTAAGTCTCTCTCATTTATTATTTGTCTCTGTAGGCAGGTTCAAACTACTTGGAATACATTTTCCTCTTATTGTGAAAATGCTCAAACCATACTTTGCTACTATGATTCCATTACGATGAGCATTTTTGTTGTACATTAGTGCATTTGGGACGCTATTTCAGTGTACAGAGCTAGTTTAATATCCAAAATAAGTTAATGAAGCAGTGGAAGTTGTGATAAGCATTTAAGTACTATTTTTATTCAGTATTGTACTTGAACTTCAGTGATGGCTCATCTGTGTAAATAATTTCATCAACCTCCTGTGTTTGCCCATCCTTGAAGATTTTCTCATAAGGATGCTTAATGAAAAAATATATTGTGCTTTTGTCCTTGTCAGTGGTGTCAGAACACATAAGAGAGGCCCTGGTGGAGGGGCTAAATGGAACTGCTGATATAAATGAAGTCCCAGCAACATTTTGTCTGAACAACTAAGCAGGCTGCGCTATGTTTTTATATTTACAATGAATGGTTGGGGAGGATATTTTCAAGTCCATTT